TGTCTATGGAGGACACAGTAAGTCATTTTACCTATTGAGCTGACTCTGCTGGGTGGTCCTCCGATGCTGGAGGGGGCGATACTGTGCTTCATGGAACTGGCGGAGCCCATCTTGGCGGCAGCGGCAGCAGCGGCAGAAACCTGTGGGGAAGTTGGGGGGGAGTTGGGTGACTTGCTCTCGGATGCCTTCGGCTTGGCCGACAGGTTCAGTGGCTGTGCACCCTCACTGTCCTGCAAAAACCAAAACAGCACAGTTTCGCCTGCTGTGACCACAGGGAGGCCCAAAAACTGAAACCTCTCGCCCTCCTCGCCCGGGGAGACAACGTTTTCACGTCGGGGCAGCTGATCCATAAAAGGAATCCATGCAAAAAAAAAAAAACAAAAAAAAAAAAGCAGCTCATAATATGCTGACAGATACCGAGGTGCATGCCACTGCCTGACTCCAAACCACCAGGGGGTGAAAACCACAGTCACATGCAAAAAACAAACAAACAACAACCCATCGACCAATCAGGACGGTCGATGGGCTGAGGCCAAACACAACACAAACTCATGCATGTGCACACTCCACATGCAGCCTGGAGTTAGCGCATGTGACCCTGTGTGTGTGTGTGTGTGTGTGTGTGTGTGTGTGTGTGTGAAACAATACGACACGTGTTGTGTTCAAAGAACACCGTGAACTTCTTTCTGAAAAAAAAAAAAAAAACCGACACAAGGTTCTTCTGTGCGCGAGTGTTTGGTGAAAGACGTCCTTGTCTCCGCAGCTGTGGACGACTGCAGACACGAGACGTCTCAGTGATTCAGTCTGAGGACTGTCTGTCCACTTCAGTCCACTCTCTCTCTCGTTCTCTCTCTGTCAAACTCTTGGCGGAACTGGCGGCGCCCTGCGCCTCAAACGCGGCCTCGCGCTCGCGTTGTCTACGGTTCTGTACACTTTTTTCTGTCTGATTTTCCTAATCGATCTGATCGAGGTCAACAACGTTTGTGCGTAAGGTCACCGTCCTGGTGTAGTCGCTGACCGCGTGTTTCCGTACCGGCACTCGTTCATCGTAATAAACCTTATGAGGCACAACAACAACAACAACAGACGCAACGCGGGGGCTTCATGTGGACCGCCGCATAACCCCCCCCCCCGGAGCTGTTATTGCGTTAATTGTCATGGCAACATCAGCCCTGTCGATGACCTAATCCAATCAGAGCACGGCTCGCGGGATCACATGACAGGAAGGCAGGAATTAGATCAACCGAGGGACCAGATGTACGCCCAGCACTCGCTGTAATTAAAACTCTGCAATTAAAAGGCAGACACAACATGGGGGGGGGGCAGTTTAATGCCCCCGACGTTGACATAAAGACGCAACACTTTGTCCCTGGAACTGTTTCAGACTCAAGGTTCAAAGTACTGTTTGCAGGTGGTCGAAAAGTTTCAAGACGGACGGTGTTTCTTGTCCTTTCTCCCCCTAGAGGATGTGTTTGAACGTGAACGTGAGACACGTGGAGGTGTCCTCCATCGGTGTTCCAGTAGTCATCGATTTGTCTTAAAACTTTTTTGACTCGCCCGGACTCCTCTACCTCTTTCTTCCTCCATCTTTAATTTTCGTGTTCACGTCAGCACAGCTGGAGGACCGACACAGACAGAGGAAACACCGCCCCCTGTTGTTCTGTCGTCATTAGTCTAATTCTCTGCTCTGTGAATCGTACAGTAGGAACCCCCCCGTAAGAAAGCAGATACTGTGTGTGTGTGTGTGTGTGTGTGTGTGTGTGATATCTCCCCTCATTAAGGATGACTTTTCCTGATTCCCACTCCTTGAGTCGTACTAAGCCTTATGAGCCTCTCACAACTCAATTAAACCCTGTGTGTTAAGCTGCTACGTGTGTGTGAGTGTGTGTGTGTGAGTGTGTGTGTGTGTGTGATCGGGCCTAACCGGATTGTCCTTCATTAGAGGGTCTTTCTAAATAGACGGAGGACCCCCAAAGATGCCTCCAGTGAGACAATGGGCTGAGAACAGAGCGAACGGGATCTTCTCAATCCTGACCCGCACCGCGCTGCGGCTCTGGCGGCTGGGACCGCGCCGCAGTATTTATTACAAATAGATAATGCCTCTGTCTTTTGTGCGGCGGCGGCGGGGCGAGTTTCCTGTCTACGCCAAGCCAAATCCTGCGTCGGGAAGTCGGCCAAGCTACATCAACGCCGCTGTGGAGGAATTAGTTCAGACAGTGGAGCTGAGAGGCTTGGACCCACGTGTTTGTGAGCGTATGTGTGATTGTTCAACAAGCTCTTGTGTGAGTGTGTGGTGAGTGTGTGAGTGTGTGTGAGTGTGTGTGAGAGAGAGAGAGAGAGAGGGAAAAAGAAAATCCTTGAATTAATACAATTGCTTTTGTGTCGTTCTTGGCTGAGGAGAGCGTCTCTCCAGCTCTGAGGTCGAAGACATGCAGAGTGACAGCGAGAGCCGGAGGGAGGAACAGAGGGGGAGAGACGGGGGAGGAGAAAGGGGGAGAGACTCTCTCTCTCTCTCTCTGTGTGTGTGTGTGTTGTATTTAATCAGAGAAACGGATGAAATCAACATCAGGGTGGCGCTGACAGCTCTGTACAACGCTCTGGTTTCTCCTGCTCAGCCTGAACGTTGTACAACGCTCTGGTTTCTCCTGCTCAGTCTGGACGTTTCCTTTTCATTTACTGTCGCTTTTGGTCACAGATTAGTTTGGAGGTGCGCAGCTCCTGAGGTTAGCCGACGCTCGTTGCTCACTTGTACCAAAGCCTTCACTGTACTTCACTCCCGTCCCTGGTTACTTCTCCTCAGTGCACGTTCATGTGGCAGGTCAGCAAATAGACGTTGAGTTTGCATGACCGCCTCTGAAAAATCCACTCTTGCGAACAAGAGAAACGCACGGAGGCTGCAGTGATTTGTGTGTGCGACGGGGGTCACCGCGTCGCCTCCCCCCCCTCTCTCTCCCCCTGCTGGTGTTCCCTGCACTACACCTGAGTGTGTGTGTGTGTGTGTGTGTGTCTGTGTCTCACCCGAGGGTAAAGCACTTAAGCATTGTGTGCCTGAGACCAAACAGCTGTGAGCAGAGGGAAGCAGCAGGTCTGTAAATGACTAGAGGATTGAGATAGAGCCCACAGGGGGCGCACACCTCTGAAATATACATGTCACTCTCCCAGTGAGGGAGAGAGAGAGAGAGATTGATGTGGAGAAGAAGAGAAAAAGCAGCTGCTGCAGTGGTCACACCAAAAGATCAGACAAAAAAAAAAAAACGAAAAACGAACGAAGAAGAAGAAGAAACTATTTGTCTCTTTTGTTCTGATTCAAACTCACAGATGATTCGACGTCAAAACAGCGGCGAAATAGAACGTTAAACTCAGCGTGGAGTTCTGGATTAGGAAGACCATCACGAGGCCACTAGGGGGTGTGTGTTGGCCAGAACCTGGCGATACGATACGTATCACGATATGATATCCTGCGATACTTTACAAGATTTTGGTAAAATTACGATAAAGAAAAATATCAGCAGATGTTTCTGTTGTTGTTTTGTTGTTTGTGCGACAGAACAGATCTGAGGTCAGATTTATTTAACGCTGTTGGGTTTTGATGGTGTTGCTGTGTGTGTGTGTCTGTGTGTGTGTGTGTCAGTGTCATTATCTCGGTGTGTGCTGCACACAGGGCGGGCAGATAGAGGACAGCGGGGGGGCATGGGGGGTCACAGTCAGGAGGTCAGGTCCATGTGTGTGTGAGGTACGGTGGTATATTCATAGAATTCCACTTGAACGAACACAAGGGGGCGCTCCCTCCGACCTCGGTGTGCAGCCAGCCGAAAAAAAAAAAAACCCGACACAAGTAATATTTGTTAGGTTTGGTCTGTGAAGTGACAGCAGCTGGAGGTCGGTCTGAGGTTCTACTGAGGTGGACATTAGTGGAGGAGCTGAGTCCGGATCAGGATCAAGTACCAGACTCTAGGGGTGACCCTAGGGGTCAAACGGACCGGGACCGACGTTTCCAGATCATGCACTCGAAGACACTTAGTGTGTGTTTGTAACAGTGGAACCGTCAGAGGAACTTTAGTCTGGTAGAATAATGATCTAAAAAAATAATAAAATGTTTTTTTTTTGTCAAATTGCTTTTTTTAAAATTTGGGTTGAAATAATTATGATTTATAATAATTCAAACTTAGTTCCAGGTCCAGTTCCAGTGTCGGACACACGCTGCACACGCCCTACGTGTTCCCTTTACCTTGGTCTTGCTGGGGGTCGGGGAGTTACGGCTCTTGTCGCTCTGCGGGTGTGTGTTGGTGGGCGGGGAGTGTGTGCCCAGGTTAGCCTGCGGCGCTAGGCTGCCTCCGTGCTGCTTGGCCCCCGGGGAAACCTGCATGGCGGCGAGCTGAGCTGCGTAGAACTGCTGCAGGTCCAGTTCCAGTGTCGGGGGAGAGAAAGGGGGGGAGAGAGAGAGATAAGAAGAAAAGTATGAAATGAGGACGGGTCGGAGATAAGAGGCTGGAGAACATGAATAAAAGAGTACTTGAGAGCACACACAAACAAAAAGAAGACGACGCTGCTCAAAAAGCTGTGGAAGGACAGGCCATTAGTGGCCGGGTCGGTGTTTGTGTGACAAAGGGGGGGAGACAGAGAGAGAGGGAGAGAGAGGGACATCTCCCTGTGTCAGCCCACTTCCTCCCCCCCTGGGAGAAGCGCTAACAGCCTCTCTGACAGGCCATGTCCCCTCCAGGTGCATCGTAGGAGAAAAGGCAAAACATTCTGGCGATCGAGGTCACGGCAGAGAGAGCAAAAAAAAAAAAAAACAAAAAAAAAAAAACAATGATGGACGGAAGGAAGAGTGAGCGATGGATGGATTTGTGTTTTTTAGTGTGTTGTCAACCAGAGGCTCAAACAGAGAAATGCTCTCGTCTGAAGATAAACTGATTTAATTACTGTTGTGTTTTCTTACCAAAACAAAAAAAGAAGAAGAAGAAAAAAAAAACAAACATTTTCTCCAGATGTCTTATTTATGTATTTAATGAATTTCCAATTACATCCCAAGACATTATGGCTGGAGCTGCTGTGTGTGTGTGTGCGTGTGTGTGTGTGTGTGTGTGTGTGTGTGAAGAATCCTGGGAATTTCCCCGGGGAACCGTTACATTACACAGAACAGCCTTTGGCCGGTGTTTCTGCAGAAACAGACACAACGTAACACTCGACAACACGGACGGAGCGTCAGTAATCACAAACACTCGTCTCCGTCCTCCTCCTCCTCCTCCTCCTTCTCAAAATCACTTACTTTCATGGCAGCTAATACCAATCTTCACCACGTCGTTATTTTTATTTTGTTTGTATTTAATTGTTGTTCCCTCAAAGCTGAAGCGCGACAGAACAGGCGTTTAAAAAAAAAAAACAAAAAAGAAATTTTTTTTTTATTTGCAGAAACTAACTGACGTGTGCGTGTGTGCTGTTCCTGCGTAGATATAACTGTTATTATTTATTTCTGGTTAAAGATTTTTCTGGAAGAAGAACATTCCTTTTTTTTTTTTTTGTTTTTTTTTTTTTCTTAGTTTAACTTCCGTCCTTCTGTTGGTGCTTGGCTGTCGGCCACAGCTTTAAACAAAGGCTGGTTTATGCAAATGGACAAAGAAGAGATGCTGTCACTGCTATTTCTCTCTCTCTCCCATTCTGTTTGTCTCCCCCCTCCCTCACTCCCACCTCCTCCCCCTTCTCTCTCTGTATCTGAATTGACTGGCACGTTAGCGTTTGCTCGTCGATCTTAAATAAAGACGTTTATGAAAACAAGCGGGAACGAGACGTCCAAATTGGCAGCACAAACTCGGGACAAAAGTTCTTCTTCGGGAGAGAACTTTGTCTTTGAAGTGACTGTCACGTCGCCACGGCAACGCCTGAATCCAGAGAAGGTGATCGATCAGGTGTTTCTGCAGGTCGACGAAAAAAGACACTATTCTGATGGTGCATTCTGATCTGACAGGACGCCGGCTGTTGTCTTTTCTTCAAACCTTCCCCGGTGATAAATAATCAGTTTATATTTGTAAACGTAACAACGTCTTTGATCACTGATGTTCTGTTGTTGTTCCTTCTTGGTCGTTGTCATAGAAACGTCAGGGTCAGTACAACCTTAAAGCTCCTTGTTCGTGGTCGTCACCATCAGAAGTCCCCGACTCGTCACAGCCACTGTCCATCATCAGCCTGGGACCGTCTCTGTCCGGGCTGGACGTCCCTCCTCTGTCTGTCTGTTCTGAACCCAGACGCAAAAAAACACCCAAGAAACCTCGGGTTAAAGATGTCACCGTTCAGATCTTCTGTGCTGCTCCCACTGCGCCTCCTCCTCCTCCACCACCACCTCTTCCTCCTCCTCCTCCTCCTCCCCCACCAGCCAACACCCCCGCTTTGCCCCCAGTGAGTGGACCAGGGGCAGTCTGTGTGTGTGTGTGTGTGTGTGTGTGTGTGTGTGTGTCCTGCCATATTTGGACCAGTGGTTCAAAGGCCTCTTTATTTGTGGAGTGAATTGAGTTCCATTACAAGGCCAGCTCCCGTCACTCAGAGCCTGTTCAATGGGCCAGTGACACACACACACACACACACACACACACACACACACACACAGACGTAGCAGAGCGTGCCCAGAGCATCGCCACTAAAGACATGCATGTCAACAAACAGGAAGTGACAGCGCAAACCCCCCCTGGGGGTTACTGCAGGAACACACACACACACACACACACACAATAGGATGCAGGATGAAACTCAAGAACAGACAGACATACTGATGAGCTGAGTCCTCCCCCCTCCTCCCCCCTTTCCTCCCCCTCAACACTCTTCCTTGTCCTTACGTCCGCATTGGACACCAGAGATAAAAAGGTCTTTTCAGGCTAGAAGAACATGCATGTGTGTACGGTACGTTCAAGATTTAGTTCAAAGTTCAGATTAGAGTTAGGGTTTAGTTCCACTGTTCAAAAAAAAAAAAATTTTTTTTGCTGCAACGTCCCCTGCGTCAAGATCCGTGCACCTTGAGAGGGGCTCGCCCCCCACTTTGGGAACCACTGGGCTGAGGAATGCCTGAGTGTGTGTGTGTGTGTGTGCGCGTTGGTCAATAATCTGCAGCTTCACTCAGATTAGCAGCTCGCCGCCTCTTTGTCTTCACAGTTCGCGTCTCATCGTTTGAGCTCCATTGTGGACGTGGACAACGAGGACCATTGTATAGATCTGTAATGAATTCGTCCCTGCGCTCCGTCTGTCTCACTTCCTGCCGCAGCTGCAGGCGTTGCAGCCGCCGACGAATCAAAGACACAAACGCTGGCGTTTTTTTTTTTCATCTGCTCTCACTCTTTTTTAGCTTTTTCTTTTTTTCTTCTTCTTTTCTTCTTCTTTTTTTTTTTTTTAAATTAACACCTTCCTGCGATTGGAATCATAAATATCGCAGATGGAGGTTGATTTGAAGCTGAATCCCAACTTTTGTGTCACTGACGAACGAGCGGCGACAAAATCATCGTTAGAGCAGGAAATCCGACTCGGCTGGAGTCACGTTCCTCTGCTGCCTATGGATCCACCATCG